GGCACCTTGGCTTTGCCTTTTCCACTGTCGCGCTTGTCCTTTCTCTGCATCATGTCGAAGACGCTGTAACGTGGCCCTGCGCTCTTCTGAGCCTTCTTCTTCTCCTTGCCCTTTCCTTTCTTCTGTTTGTCTTGACCCTCTCCCAGAACTGACCGCATGCCGTTATCGTCTTGCACTGCCCTCATCATCACTTTCTGCTTCTCTTTGTGCTTTGCATTGTTCTTCTTCTTTGCCTGCACAGCTAACGTGGCTGGAAGCGCCAGTGCGCGGACGGTGTTGATGGTAGAGCGACCAGTCTCGGGGGAGGCCTCAGCTGCAGTATCGACGTCCATCTCCTCATGCCCAGGCTGCGCGTGGCTAGCCTCATACTGCCCGATCGAGACATCTTCTATCACGCTCGCAATCTGCCAGGTTGACGGCCACTTGTTGCCGTTCTCGTCCAGCCCGGCCCATCGCACACGATACTCCGGTTCGTCGAAGTTCTCTGAGAATCGTTTGTTGGTAAGGCAGTCGACTTCGTAAGTTTCTTTGGTGTGACCCGCCGGGATTCGAAGCTTCGCGCGAGTGCGATAAGTGCGCGGCTCATAGAAGTTCATGCCACGAGCGGCTGAGTGGTGGGACAAGCGGCGCGTGGGCGTGGTGGAGTTGTCACCTACACGACGTTAGTACGACGATCAGGTACAACGCGGATGGCGGTAGCGGGTCAGAGCAAGGGTCATACTGTCGCGTGTCATGATGGCGGGGTAGCGTGGGCGCTACGCTGCTGGTCTGGCCAGGAGTGATCGTGGTTGGGCCGGAGAGTTTGCCTGAGCGCTATGTAGCCAAGCTGATGTCAGATGGCAGGGATGCGCAGCACCTTCTTTCAACGACGACATGGGAAAGCGCGAAAGCAGCGTTTATTTTCTCGCGGTAGCAAGAGCATGTCGACTTAAGTACAGTTTTGCACATTCATTCATTGAGAAAGGCTGACGTCGTTTGGAGTTGGGTTCCTGTCTGCACGCAGAGGTCTTGGTGAGCTGCGGCGGTTCTGGCTGCGGGACGCCCGCCCCAAGTCCCCTGGCTGCGCACATCTCTCCAGAGCCGCAAAGCGATCCAGTCTCCGTCATAAATTGGATTCTTTGTCGCATTGGTCATCTCGAAGTACTGGCCCTTTTTTGATGCTGATATCTACCCGTCGTGGTTGTGGTGTCGTGTGGCACAGTTTCGCAGCTCACCAGCAAGCCCACGCGCAACGCATCTCGTTCCACCCGACGACACGATCATGTTCAGGTCGACCGAGATAAGATGTCGCACCCGCTAAATCTTCGTGATAGAAGCACGATATTATGATGAATGTACCGTGTACTCGTCTGCATAGGTGTTCGTCGATGACATTTGTTCAATCCGTCCGTCGTCCACAAAGCTGCTCGAGAGGCCGAAACCGCGTGAGGGTTGCATAAACAGAGACATTGGTTTCAGCTTATGTTTCCTTTGGACTTCCCTGAACTCTTGTCGTCATTCCGAATTTGTGTCGCTGCGAGGCAAATATGAGACACTGTTTCAACGCCCTTACTCTCACCCCATCAGTTCAGGGCCAGCGCAGTTGCGAGGTCAAGCAAGTGCTCGCATCGCACCTGATGTATCGCTTTCTCTATTGGCTAACGGTCCGCCGGCATCGAGAGCACTACCAATATCCTGATTGTCTACTCATGTCGAGGCCATTTATGCCATCCACAGTGCACTGCGAGCGAAGCCAAAGACCAGGAATCATTGCTTCACGCCTCATCAAGGTTTCAACCAGATTATAGAGCGAAGGCCGTTCCAGACGGCATGATAAATATCGCGTGTTTCCTCCCGGATTTCCTCATCGTGACATATTGCGCAACCCCTATAACATTACCTTTACCCATCGGGCGAGAACCGTTGCAAGGTTTCCATATCGCTAAACCTCAATCAGACCTGCCCTGTAACTCATCCGTAAGTCTATCATACCCAACCGCGTACCCTTTTTCCCTGTGCTTCTCCGCTGACTCCCAAGATCAGGCGTAATGGACTGCCGCCCTTCGCCTCTACCTATCTGGCTCAATATCATATTGTTTACGAACCTCGCAACTGTCATTGTCTGTAACTCCAAGATCATCCTTCACAGTTTCGGCTACTTGGATGCCCACTATGTCTCGGGGTCGGACACAGATGCTCGCGTGTTGCTTCTGAGCGGGTTCGTCATGATCCTGATTGCCAACATTATCATGAGGAGGGCACAATCGGTCATCAGAGACGTGGAGAAGCTCAAGTCTAGCATGTTGCTAGCCAGTCATAAGCTGGCTGTCGCCGAGCGTCATCGTCGAGAGTCGCTAAGGGAGGAAGAGGACGAGGAATTCGAGCTCATCCTATCGGACGCTACTACCGATACGGTGCAGGCAAACCTGAACGCACTCCGAGCCTATGTCGACGCCAATAACGACATCATGGCGATTCTGGACAGAATGCATGGTCGCAAGGACCCCGATATGGCTTCCATCAGGAGTGTGCTCGAGGTCAGAACCACCATCGAAGAGCTGAGGAGGAAGAGTGGCGATGAGTTCGAGTTGTACATTGCTCGCTTGGACACTATCCGCTCGGCTTTCAGGCAACGAGACACCTAGGATACGTACCATGTTCTTCTACCCGGACTTTGTTGGCGATGTTGGCGAGGAGGAGAATACGTTCCCTCTATACATGTATCACTGTCCAAGATCTTACTAGCCACTGCGAAGGAACTTAGCTAGCACATCAGAGATTCTGCCAGCGTCTTGTCAGTTCTCCTTCCGGAATGAATGAATGTCTCTTGTTTTGCGATTTGTCATAGATAAGATTCAGCTATAGCTAGTGTACTGCTTTCTCCATACTGGGCTTGTCTTCACCCGAAGTTGTTGCGGAAAGAATGGGAGTAAGCCAACAAACATGTTTTCATTGCGATGCATCGTCTTCTCTGCCAAGGGTGATACACGAGACCCTCATTCCTCATGGGAAATGGAAAGTCCAATGGTCTTCAACCTCACTCCCAACCCGGATCTGTAGTCTAAGAAGCGCATGTGAATGCAAGTACATTAAGACTACCGACATGTCGATCGGTCGAGCAATGCGGGAAATTCACGCCAACACTGGTATGACGAGCAGCTCGGGCCGCTACCATTTGACAATGAGACATCATGTCGGCTTCCTCCCACATGGTTTGACATTGATATTGTTGCCTGCTAAGGCGCGGCACCGGTATTGCAACCTTGGGACCAGTGCGGAATGCGGGCCACATCTGAGCTCGTCGAGGGGCCATCGGGTTGTGCGCATTCCTCTCCGCCTCTCCCCGCTACCCGACACAATCCACGATCAAGCTCCCGGGCCCATCACCCCAGCGAGGCCAACACCGTGTGACCGGGTGTATGTATGTGCCGTCCTCCTCGTGTATCACCAACCCGCCGGCATAGCAAAGAGCGGCTTCGCTTATTCGGACGTCGTCGAGGGGACAGATTTTGAAGAGGGTCATTGTGGGCGCATCGCGGGCTGGAACAGGTGCTGCAGACAATCGCATGGCTGGCCCGGATCGACTGGGAGGAGGCGCGGATGAAGATTGGAGGCGAGCGATGTGCAGAGGGCGGGAGCATCAGCCTCGACCACCAACGCGTAGCGCAGTGAAACCGCCAAGATCTTCGAACGCGAAGATAGATGCCAACTCGCTGTGTTCTACATCTCATCTGATGGCATTAGCTTTGCCCGGCACTGCTCCGATATCTTGTCATCTTGTGGTGTCGGCTCAAGCTCCTGCACCGACCAATCGAGAAAGACTGGCCAAATGTTCCAACGCCAGTAGCCGTGCTTTCTCCCTCTCACTTCGTCGGCTTGTCTAATCTCAGCCGCGTCGAAGGGGTGTTGATGCGGGGTGGAATCGAAGACAGGTGCGTGTGCGTATGCGGTAGAGGGCATGTTGACGGACGATGAAAGACAGTCGCAGCTTGGTACGCTTCTGGAAATCACGAGTCAGTGTTAAGCCAATCTAGATGAAAGAAGCCTGGGCAGTTCGTACCCGTGGATGGCGGTGATATGGCGGTGATATGGCATTGCAGCACGAGCTCTTCGAATAGCAATACCCTCCTCATGGCAGTTGATGCGCCTTCATAAGCGCCTCAATACTTACAATGCCATTTTGCCCATTTGAGAACACGACTAGAGGCTGTGGCGCCGTTGGCACTGCTGGGTGTCGTGGTTTGGTGTTGCGATACGCGCGTACATGGCTAGTGACGTCGCATCACGAATGGCGCATCGCAATGTTACGATTCGAGAGAGACGCAGTGATGGTAGTGTAGAGCGAGATTTCAGTCTGGGGTCACAGGTACCAGATGCGCATACGGACGTACGCGGTATCTGCACTCGGGGCGCGGTGGCCTGTGATCTTGCCCGGGTGGAAGCTGACTAGTCGGCACGTGATGATGACAGCTTGGCAGAGTCCAGGCTCCCCGCAATCGAGGCTCAGCGCCTGTGCCAGGTGCTTTCGCATCCTCGTACCCCATCGGCACATAGAAGAACACCTAATCTGCCAATGACGGCGCTGTCACCCACAAACGGGAGCCATTGCATTCTTGTTGGGCGCCGCCCCGGAGGCAAGGCAGCTGACTTCCGCGCTAGAGAGTTCGCGCTGAACTTCAACGAAGGGCGACAGCACTATACCAAGCTCGTTTTTCCGTCTAAGATTTCGGGGGAAGATAGAAGTATAGTAGAATTGATGTTTGCTCAACATTCTGCCCGGATAAAATCGACTAGTCAGCCCCGGCGGTAGAGAAGTAAACGGCACGGAAGACGATGAACTCAACGATGCCAATTCACATGCGCTGGAACGAAGTCAAAAGAGTCAAGCCATATTCCGGCATCAAATGTTTGAGAAAGAGCTGGATGCTAGCCCATTTATCACCCCAAACCGTACGCAGAGAAGAGGAAGGTCCGGAGCGCAGCATACCATCCCGATTCCAAAGCCAGCCGTAGTCCACCACCTACAAGTCTTTGATGATGCTCTCCATGAACCACATCATGACAATGAGCGAGAAGAACATGAGAAGCAGGGCCTGTCCGATCGCCACGGCAGCCATGACCATGGCGACAATCGTGGCGAGACCCTGACTGATAACCACGCTGCAGAACATCGTGATGACGACCTTGGCTTTGGCTTTCGCGAGAGCCACGTTCACCTCTTTGTCAAGACATTCGACCCGCTTAGAGGGGACTTGCGCCTCTGCATGGTCGTGCTGACTGGCGGCTGAGAGTTCGGATGTAAGCAAACGTATGTAAAAGTGCTGATATATCGTACCTTCCACCGGCGCTACCTTTGGGGCTTCGACCGCAGAGGGCACCTTCTCGCCATCATTCTCACACGGGTTCGACGATGGGTGTTTTGCCTTGCCTGCGAGCAGTAGGTCATCGTATGGGTCTCCTTCAGTTTCTGGTCCAACATCAGTTTCGCCATCACGTACGGCTGTCGCATCGGAATTGTCACATACCATTGCTGGAAGCATGCATGGTGAAGAGCGTGCTGATACGTTCGGCAAGCGGGCTATCGAACAGCCGGTCAGGATCACCGAGTTTGAAGAGAGGTTGCAACTCATAGACCTCGTGGCGTGAGCTGTCGACGTTGTCGACGCCCGACATGACAGTCAGTTGATAGATTGTCTTCGATCTGGTATAGTGGGCGCGTGCGATCGGCTAACAGGATGAATGCTCGATTGTGAGGAGAGAAGAGCGGCGAATATATTTTTGATGTCGTGCTTGAAGAAGGGGGACAGGAGCTGACTTCTTATCCAGATATCGCTGCACGTTCGGCATTCGTTCAAATCGAACCAGCGATTGTGCTTAGAGACACCCATATTTTGGGTAACGTATGGCTACGCTCAGCACTGTCCGTGTTCTGGAACTTCTTCAATCGACCTTTGGCCCAATCTGCTAGCCGAGACATGAAGGATTCGCTCCCGTCTCCATCATAAGAAGCAAAGCGTCCAGGTACCGGACCTTGGCACCTTCGCTAGTATCATCGAAGCTGCGCAAACTCAGGTCGACTTTCATCTAGCACCTTGCATTATTAGTATTTCTTCGTTCATTGTTTGCAAAGACCAGGGTACGATGCGGCGACCATTGTTGTTCGCGCAAGTTGCAGCGTTTGGGGCTCATGCGGCACAGACACAACGAAGTTACACCAGACGCCGCTGCCGCTAGCCTCGCCGACTTCATTTCGTGCGAGACCGGGTACCAGATCCTTCCCGTGATCGTTGTCCGCGGGGGCGCTGTCAAGACCGAAACAAGCAACGCACCCACGTGCGCGGAGATAAAGTTCCTTGCGCTGATACGCATCCGGACAGGAAAAAGCTAGTGGTGGGTAATCCTTGCGTACATCGTCCGCTAGGTCTGTAATTGTCTTTAATACGTTTTCCATGGCTATAGATCGGATTGAAGCATAGATATACTTGTTCCGCTAACGGATAGACTTGTATTTGACTATATAATCATGCGAACTTGTTGTAAAACCCCAGTACAACGTCTGCGCACAGTAATTAATACTTAGACCCTTGATACAACACTGGCTATAACGGCATTGCTGATTAATACTATCCTTGTCGCTTTCTTGACAAATGGAGAACGCAGAGGCGTATCGTCCCTAAGAGCGGCCGCAACGCTGTTCTTCTACGATAGGGTTTAAAGTATGCCGTGATAGAAGCAGACGAGACTATAGAGAACTTGAGCGTTCGTGGGTTAAGTGGAATGTTGTTACACGGGCAGTAAAGAGTGAGCATAGCTTGACTGAAGAACCGTCCGCGACGATGCCGGGAGGTTGCGGAGAACTCCCGACGCTCAGAACAGTCGTTCCATTGATCTTATCGATATGAGAGACGTATCAGTTCGTCGTGGTGTACCTGCGCGTTAGGCTGTGGATGGTTTGAGCATCTCGAATATCCATGCGCAGGAGACGCTAGCAGAAGTTCGCCAATTGAGGAGTTGATCATATTCATGAGACCGAACAGGTTCTAAGAGAGGCAAGCATTACTCAGATTTAACTTCGCATCCGTCAGCACTAAGCCTAAGCTGGTCACTCAATCGTGGAGAAGGAGAAGACCTCGATCTGTCAAGTGCAAGTTCGTAGTGCTACTGGAGACGCAGCTGGACATATATACCCCTTTTGTTGTCGTTCCTCACGGCCTCTGTGCTGCTAGCAACATCGCGGCGCCGTACCACATCGACGTCATCTTCACGTCGTCCATGAGTGGCATAGGGACATCTAGCCGCGACTACGTCCACGATGACCTGAGAAGGCATTGGCGAAGCCGGATAGAATGACTTGGCGGCGGACACGGATGCGACATACTTCATGGTTGGCAGGACCACGGGATGGCAGGCCTGCGTTGTGAGGCGTGTTGATGGTCGAGGGCTGCGACGGAGAGGGATGCGATGGTATTCATGGTGGAATGGACAACCGACTTAGGTCGGGACCTGGTCGAGTTGGTGTACCGCCCATGGCCGCGATGCCAAAGTGCGACGGCAAGGTCTCCATCACATCCGTGATGACGACGTTTGGTGAGCCCACGTATATCACGTCCATTGAGGTTGCCATGACCGTCCAGTCTTCCATGCACCGTTACGTGGTGAAACCCTCCAAACGCCACTTGTATATGTTCTTGTTCGAGGAAGGAGATGCAGAATGACCGTAAAAGAAGTGTGAGTGTTGGGTAACGACTGCGGACCAGGCTTGATCATACACGTGGTTAATCGATGAGAGCGTCCGGCAATGACGTTCGAGCGTGTGCTCGTGATTCCGTCTATCTCGCCTGCGGCTACGTGTTGATGGTTCCATCTTGTACGGGGCGAAGGTGCCCAGGGACTGGAAAGGGATAATTGGCTGACGGGGAGCGGTCTGCTTGCGATAAGGTGGAAGCGTCAAGTTGTCGTCGCTTGAGCAGCGCTGAGGTGGGCGGGGTGGAGGTGGAGTGTAGTATCGGCATGGGCGTTCATGTGTAGCGAGGGCGTCTAGTCGGCGGGCTTGAGGTCAGAGACGATACCGACAACATATTGACGGTGCTCTTTGTCACTGCCTTGCCAAAGACACGCGGCATGTGTCCTACGGTGTCGTGTCAGTCGCGACAGAAGTAGCTTTGGGGATAAGGCGGTAAGCATGTACCCATTCGTACGTCCAGAATATCGCGATGTCGCTCGCATTATATGGTGATGTAATGCGTGTATTGCAGGGCGATTGCGCACTGGCTGTCTCTTCGGCGTGTGTGAATGTATCGTAAGGCTAGCGGGTTGGCGCGCGCGGGGCCTTGGCGGCTACGTCAGACGGGCGGGCAGGCGTACATAGTAGAAGGACTGCCCGAGCTCTGGCTGCGGTAAGGGCGAAGGCAAGTCATCATGGAGGAGGCGGTTGTGGTGTCGACGAAACATCCCCCTAGGACAGCGACGTGGGAACACAAGGGTGTGGGTGGTTGGGCGTGGTGCTGGCTGTCGCGTTCCTGATGAAGGTCGGGTGTCGTCCAGGTCAGCTGAGCATGTCGTCTCGACGCACTTTAGTCGTGTAGAAAAGGCCTAGGGCAAAAGGGCCATCCGAGTTGGAGGGCAACATTGTCGTTGAATTAGGCCTGCGCCGGACGCCGGACGCGCGAAGCCTGCCAAGGGTGCCAGCGCTCCAACGTTGGATTCCCCCGCCCAAGAGATCCTCTCTCCCCCACAACCATCCGATATCTCGGATTCGGCCGCCAAACAAAGCCGCGAACTTTCGGACCCAGCGCCTGTAGTAGATCCACTCTAGAATGTTGCGCCGTGTTGATTTTGTGGTCGCAAAGAACTTTTGGCGGTAATCACCAGAACTCAGGCAAGCTGGTGAAGAAGTAGAAACAAGAGTTGGAGAAGGGGCTAAGGATGTGGTGCCGGATCTTGGTACTCCGCTTGGTACAAGCTATCTGAACTACTCTTCCCGGGCTATGAATGTCTTGAGTTGCCGTCGAGACCAACCTCAGCCTGTCGTCTCTTCTCTCCACTCACATCCACCAACACGTCGAGGTCGAGGCTCTCCTCCCTGCGACCAATCGATCACCGATCGCGCTTTCACCGGCGCCGACTTTCACTCCAGCCGACCTTCGTGCTTGTCTTGATTCTTCTGCAGTGTTGATGTCCGTCAGAATGGACAGCTCATTCAAGTGCTTTCACATGCTTCGCAGTCTATATCCTTTGGCTGTCGGCCCTCTACTGATGTTTGCGTTTACTCCAACATGACGGAGGTGCGAACGTAAACGAGGCGCTTCATTTTTGGGAACCACCAAAAGATGAATGCTAGAAGGTGCCTGGCTGTCGACATTTGGAAGACTTCGCTGTGGCTTGCCAAAGGTAGAGATCTACGAAATGCCATGACTCTAGGCTAGCTCGTGGAAACCTCAGCAATCATGTGTTGTTGATATGAGCTGATTGCATCACAAAACCGCAGCCGCACTGTCGTGTCCCATGACTAGAACGCACGTATACTCGGGGTGACTAACGGCATCCTTGTTGTTAGGCCATTGTGGATGTGAGGCATAATAACTTAATCGGAGGATTTTGGAAATATTCGTTGAACTACTTTTGGTGCACTAAGGTACCCCAATTTGCCTAGAACTTTTGGAGCATTTGTGCTCCACGTGCTACGCTACGATATCCACCGAGAACCGCACGAGTCCTCACCCATCCTCCACTGTCTGATGCTTCTCGGCTGTCTTCACTAGCCTGAAAATATAATTATAGGACACCCGAGTCCATGGACTGTTTATTTCATGCCGGTTGGGACTGCACACTGTTCACCTCATCTCAAGGCGCTCCTCAGATCCGGTATCGAACTTCTCCGCATGACGACCATTCATCAAATAGACCATCGGGGGGATGTAAAGGCGCGTCATTTGCACCACCCAACCCCATGCCATCGAGCCATTCGTGGATGACTTCGAAGCTCTTCTTCATCTTCTCTTCTCCGCTATCAAGGCTACTCTCGCGGATCATTCGGGCGATATTACGGCTTGGGATAGCGGTGTTGTTTCGACTCTGGTCGCCATGAGTCGAGCGGCGGTGGCGGGATTGGCGTATACCTTTCGAGTCTTGGTTTCCTTGACTAGGCCCTGGCCTCATAATGCCGATCTGCATAGCTGGTCCAATGCCTGAGAGTCCTACGCTGGCTTCGTTTCCGGCGGTTCCATACTGTCAAGTGTGCTGATGATTTGCTGGGCACCTGGTGCTTATCCTTGGTCGAAGCGTACTTCTTGCAAACGAGCCGACAACGTATGCTCTTGCGGCTGCTTCAGTTGATATCACGACACGATCGAAGACGTTTGAATGACAACGTCTGGTGGGTGTGCTTTCGAATGGCTGAGGACGTGTATTTTACGCATCTTGCCCTTGTAGTTGTGAGAGCGTGCCGCGTGCGTCCCGACTCGCATGGTCGGCTTGGACGCTCCACGTTTTCATGTAATCATCACCCATAATTCCCGCTTTGTCACGC